TATATATATATATATATAAAATCAGAAACCAGCATCTTATCCACTAAAATAAATCATGTATAAAATGACAATTCAGATGTTCTACACGTAAATATTCAAAATATTGGATTATTATTAATCAAATGCTTCAAGCTCTTTGCACGTTTTCAGATTAGTCGATTAATAAAAATTTCACAATTTTAAACAAAAAGCGATAATGAGAATATTAAACATTTGTTGATGAAACAGAAAATGATAGCTAAGGGTTAGGCGCTAAGAATGATAGAGAATAAGGATTGCATTTAAATTATTAATAATTTGTGCATTTTGCACAAAGATGGTGAGTGGTGATGCGCGAAAAGGCATGGCAAAAATATCTACCGAGTAGATATCCGAAGACGAATACCTTTTTTTTGCCGTCGGTACCGGTGTAATCTGTGCAAGTGACGGTAATCAGGTGGTTCATCTCCCGAGTCGCTACCTGCCGAACCACTACTCGATGTCGCCGAAGAACTTTCGCTGCTTGCTAACATCACGTCTAAGAGATTTGCTCTGGCCTAAGTGAAAGTATAGCGATCAGTATTGCATTCATTTTCACATAGAAATAAAAGCATAATGAAGTGATTTACATGACATCTTGTATTTGTGAAAAATTGTTGTATTCAAGTAAACAATTTCTAGCGATTAATTCTTATATCCGTATTGAAATCGTCAAGCACTTTATTTGTGAGCATTATTCTATTATTTATCTAAGTTACTTAAAATTTCTATAGTTTAGTCTTACTGGAAGCTCACCTTGGGGTCGGTGAAGTCAATATCACGTTCAACGTGAACCCATCCTGTCGGACAGCAGCAAGCAAGATCCAATTTCTCAAGCGGTACCTGCGATTCGTTATTAACGATGTTAACAGCAGTAGTATCTTCACCCTTTCGAATCATGCGATTCAATTCATCTATAACGTCCTTGGATGTGGCACGTTCATGGAAGCTCAATGTTCGATCTCTGCCCTCCACGAGAAGCGTTGCTCGTGCCGGGCTGACCTGTATGAAGATTATGCAATCGTTAATATAATAAAGTGTTTTGCTAGAAATTAAATTAAAAATTTTTATGCATAAAATTAATTTCTCTTTATAATGTTAACACATTAATTAATACTACTAGTAGTAACTGTTATTGTTTTATATTAACATTATTATATATTATTATAAGTGAGAGAATGTTTATATCATATTATATTATATTATATTATATTATATTATATTATTATATTGATAATTCAATGTTAAGTGAAACAAATAATATCTCTCAATAAAATTTCTTGAAATAAAGAAATTATTTCTTAAAAATAAAAATTATTTCTTCAGGAAGAAAAAGGGAAATTGAATAAGTGTCGCTTTTCTTTTCTTTCGTGCAAATTTAAGTAGTATTTGAAAGTAAACTTGCAACTGTACTAGGCGTAGAGGAAGTTGCCTCTTCGTCCTCCTCGGGAACAGCTCCTAATTCCGATGCTACCGTTGTATATGTGATACCGCCATTACACGACACAGCGCTTACAATCCTCTCCTCGAGTGTCAATGGTGGTACCTGTATCTGATCGAGTAGCTCATTGTTGCTGCTCATTTCATTCGCATTTCCGATGCGACTATGCTCTTGAACGGACGAACTTTCTAGCTTCGCTATCTTTGTCTCTCCCGTAGAATCAGTTTTATTAGGGACCAATTCTATAAGCGATGAGATTTAAAAACACATTTTTAATATCTTTTCTATCATTTTAATTCCATTCTTTCATTATTATATTTAAAAAATTTCTTGGTAATTATTCAGATTAAGGGACACCCCGTCAATGACCTTAACTTTGACGTATGTCACCCTGAGTAACCTCTGACAGGTTTCAGGTGACGGTCGATCTTCGTTAAAAAGTTATTAATAAAAAAAAGTTTTAAAAATAACAAAAGAATAATTAAAGTTGGGCTCTTAAGATAAAAACTAAACAAATGAAAAAACGGGCAATTAAGAATCTAGGTTCGCAGTAATTGGAGCGATTATATCAACATATATTTTTCGGTACTATATATAACAAATCGAACGTTTCGGTTTAATTCAAGCCATCTTCAGCAATCTAGTATAATAACTCTAAATATCTCTTGATAAATTCGAGACATTTTGGTAGTCTCGTATAATACAACTTCCTTAATACAACTTCCTTAATACAATTCAAGTAGTCGTAAATCTGAAGTATGTAACCTCATTTAGTTGTTAGGCTAAGTGCGAGTTAAATGAAAAATAATATATATAAGAAGGACAGTTATCATAAAGAAAGATCACTAATTTAGTATGGAAACTTACTTACTGCACTCCATAACTGCACAATAAAATACTATAAATTAAATCACGATCGGCAAAAAAAAGATCACAATATCAAGCGTTTTTAGCGACATATTCACAGTGTCAAAGCAAAATCACGTATATAAATTAACATGAAAGACTAAATATTATAAGTATGGAAATAATAATATCAAAAAAGTAAATGTCGAATAAAGAAAATACATAGAAAAATTGAATATAATCAAATGATTCAAAAACGAGTTAAAATCTATTTATTATGTATTATGTACTATCTATATTCGTATAAGCATAGTGCAAGAATTCTGTGTCTGATTTCAAATTTAATTCATTCTCTTGCATTTTAATATTGAACATTTCTGATACTAATCTTTTACCAAAATATTTCTCGTTATCTAAAATTTTTGTGTTATTCCAATCAAATTCATAGTCAAATGCTAACCTATATTCTGAAATAACAGATAAATTACCACTTTTTTAATTAATATCATTTTTGTGTTCATTAATTCTGGTCTTTACAACTCACATAGGAAACATGACAATTTTTACAATTAATCTTATATACAACATTTTTCTTAGAATTGTGTGATAAAACGTCTTTCTGAGCTTTGATGATTCCGTCAAGTTTATTTAAACTAAAGAAAGATAATCTGACATTAAGATTCTTAGTAATGTTTCTAAATTTATCTTAAATATCCGATAAAAAAGATATAGTAAACCAACTCTTTTAATACTATACGCATGAAACATCATTTTGACAAACTTATTTAGGCTGTGTTCGGAAACACCGAGTGTCTCATATATCGTTTTATCCTTGTTGTCCAATGTGAAACAATGATAATTTAAAATACAAAGGCATCCAGATGATGTTTCCAAATGCAATCTAAATAAAATTTATCAAAAAGATGTTTCACGCAGTCCTAAAGATGTGAAGTCCTATTGAAATATATCACAGTTACATAACATTCAGTGTTCTTGGATCAGCAGTTCCTATACAATTACAGTGGTCAAGTTGGATAGGATACGATATTAAATGACTACTTAGAAAAATAAGGAAATTAATTTCCAAATGAGAGAGAGAGAGAGGAAGAGAGAAAGAGCATTTTTTAAAATTATAATTTTGTCGTGTGTATTTCGGAAAATATATTGCAAATTAATAATATTATTTTAGGAATAAAACAGATTTAATTAATTTTATATAATAAAGCCATTTATTTTGATAGTTTTCTTTGAACGTTAACCTTTAATTGGGTGTAACCTTCAGTTGATCCGAAATTATACCCAAATTTGAGCGTTCTTTTTGAATGTTTAACGCCCAAAATTGAGGGTATTTTTTCGTAAGAGAAGAGATTTTTTTTATCTTCAATCTCCTTAATGTTAGATTTATCTACTTGTTTTGCATTTTAACAGAGATCTTAATCTTAAATTAATAGTGTCAAAGATAAATTTGATAGAGTAATCATTGTTCCAAAACGTCTTAATAATAAAATTGAAGTTTTTCATATGATATCTCGGATGAGAAAGTAAAAAGTAAAAAGACTCTGTCAACCTTGCTTATTAGAACATCTCTTTTTTATGAGAGCGGATGGAGAGATAAGAAACTGAGGTATCTGCCTGAGAATGTCGGTTTGTGATACAAATTCACAAATCATTTATTTCTAATAGTAAATAATGCTGAATATTCATTTGGAGCAGGAAAAAAGAAAAGAATATCAACTTTAAAATTATTCTTGTTATTCACAGAATCAGAAGGTAATTTATTAAAAAACAAAAAAGAACTATTATCAGAGCAAATCCAAAAATATTAAATCAATGTAATTTTGGAGATCATTTTATTATTGCGTTTGTTAATTAATCAATTAATCTTCTTGTCCAGTTTCTTATGTTCATCTTTATGTTTTTGTCTAAGAAAATTGTTTTGTTTGATAAAAGAATGCATCACAAAGATAAGCAGGAATTCAACAAGAAATCTTTCTGAATAGAATCAAAATTTGTCTTTTTGAGTTGTATAATGTTCTAAACACATCATTAAATTCGACATTAAAAATTCTACGTACATAAGAATTCTTCAATTTATTATATTTATTACGTGGGTGAAAATTTAAATCCGAATAATAGATCCTACTTAAATGTCGCAGAACAATCTTCTTTTGTAAACAAAATTTTAAAAATTTTGGTTGAAAAGATCTAGAGAACAAAGCTTTGAGGAGATTTGGAATTGAGCTACCGTTTTACTATAGATATGTGGACATCGCGATTGCTATCCTCAATCACTTAGATGAATTTTTGGAGATATTTAATTCGTTACATCCAAGATTACAGTTCACGATAGAGATTGGTGATAATTGTTTGAATTTCTTGGATGTGACTATAATTAATGCGAACGAAAAATTGAAATTCACAAATTGACATTCTCAGGCAGGTATCTCAGTTTGTTATCCCTCCATCCGTTCTCACAAAAGAGAGATGTTCTAATAAACATGGTTGACAGAGTCTTTTTATTTTCTCATCTGAGATATCATATGAAAAATTACAATTTTATTAAGACGTTTTTGAACAATAATTACACTATCAAATTTATTTTTTACATAATTTATTTTTACATATTTTTAACATTATTAATTTAAAATCTCTATTAAAATGCAAAACAAGAAGATAAATCTAATAATAAGGAGACTGAAGATAAAAAAATCTCTTAATTTATTATACTTTTTTTACCGGATATTTATGATAAATTTAGGAACATTTCTAAGAATCTTAATGTCTTAATCAAATTATCTTTCTTTAGTTTAAATAAATTTGACGGAATCATCAAAGCTCAGAAAGACGTTTTATCACACGATTTTAAAAAAAATGTTGTATACAAGATTAATTGTAAAAATTGTAATGCTTTCTATGTGGGACAGACGGGTTGTAAGTTAAAGACCAGAATTAATGAACACGAAAATGATATTGATAAAAAAAGTGATAATTTATCTGTTATTTCAGAACATAGATTAGAATTTGATCATAAATTTGATTGGAACAAAAATTTTATAAATAAAAGAGATATTTTGGTAAAAGATTGGTGTCAGAGATGCTCAATATTAAAATGCAAGAGAATGAACTAAATTTAAAATCAGACACATAATTCTTGTACCATGCTTATACAAAAATAATAGATAGATTTTTAACTCGTTTTTGGATCATTTGACTATATTCAATTTTCTATCTATGTATTTTCTTTATTCGATGACTTTCTTAACATTGTTTACTTACAATATTTAGTCTTTCATGTTAATTTACATACGTGACACTGCTTTGACACTGTGAATATGTCGCTAAAGATGCTTAGCGTTGTGTATATTCTTTTTACCGATCTGATTTTATTGTGCAATTATGAAGTGCAGTAGATAAATTTCCATAATAAATTGGTGATTTTTCTTTATGATAACTATCCTTATATATATTATTTTTTATTTAACTCGCATTTAGCTTAATAACTAAATTAATTACTAAATTAATTAATAACTAAATAAAAGACGGTTACATACTTCAGATTTGGTAATCTAGGACACTCCCTTGTTGCATTCAATTACTTTGATTTACGATTATTTGAATTAAGAAAGTTATATTATACGAGGCTACCTAAGATGTCTCGAATTATTTATCAAGAGATTTTATTACTACTAGACTGCTGAAAATAACTTGAATTCAGCTGAAATATTCTATATTTGTTATATGTATATATGTAGTATTGAGAAATATATGTTGGTATAATCGCTACAATTACTGTGAATGTAGGCTTTTAATTGCCCGTTTTTTTCATTGATTGTTTAGTTTAAAAATAACATTTGATTTCTACCACATTTTTCAGAAAAAGATTCGGAAAGTTTAATGACATCTTCGGAAAGTTTAATACATATAATACAACTATATAACACGAATATTCCCAGCTTTAAAATATGTTTGCTATTCATGTACTGTAGGAGGATGAGAGTCGAAGGTGAGAGTTCTGCACCCCTTTGCAGGGAGGATGGATGAGAGTCGCTTGGCGTTGAAAGTTGTTGAATAATATCTTCCTTGGACTCTCATCTTCCTCTCCCCCCCCCCCTGCAAAAGGTGTATAACTTTCACCTTCGACTCTCACCCCCCTCTTGCAAAGGGGCGCACGTGTGTCACCCTCGACTCTGACCACCTTCCTACAGTACACGAATAGTAAATATATTTTAAAGTAGAGAATTCTCGTGTTATGTAGTTGAACTTTTTTTGTTATTAATTTTTTAACGAAGGACGACCATCACCTAAAACCTGTTGGAAATCACTCATGACCATGACCTTGACAACATATGTCAAGGTGAAGGTCATCGGCGAGATATCCCTTAATCTGAATAAGTACCATTTCTTTTAGTTAATTGATTTTTTATTTTTTTTTCCTGTATTTTATGATTATGATAATAATAACTTGACTGAAAAATAGACAGCACGAAACGTTTTCTGTTTAATTAACGAATACGATTGAGTATCACCTTCTGTTGAGTGAGACACGTTCTGCGATTCCACAGGATTATTCGGTAACTCTGCGAGGTACATCTGTTGTTCGGCGATGAAAGACAGGACACTCTGAAGCGCTTGTTCTCTATCCGGTGGTGGCCTACCACTTCTGGAGGACGTGCTCGCCAAGCTCTTGGTGCTCTCGAACTTTACTAGCCGGTAAAAGTCCCTGGTGAAGTCCGTGCCGATTGACGGAGTGTCAGGATCGTCGCTGCAGCCAGAGAGTGCCGCCGATGAACGCTTACTCGAGTTCTCCAGGGCACCTTCCTCACTACTCCAGGACGCACCGGGACTTGAGGCATATGGCCAAGGTCCGTTTGTCCTTGCGTCCATTAAAAGCGCAACCTAAGAAATAAATGATAATTTGCTGCAAGAATTAGTATAACATAATACTTTATGATTCTTATTGTTTATATTACGCCGCTTGAAGATGACGTTGTTTCTTTAAATACCGATTATTGCGAAGAATATTACTAGGATATAAGAATATTACTACAAGTAAGATTACCTTAGTAATCTAAAGCTTAGGACGTTCATACGAAATACAAGAGATTCAGTTTTAACCGGCAATAAATTTTTTGCAATAAATTTATTTACAGTTTTTCACATTAACATCCTTCTATTGGGAGTACAAATTAGTTCAGTCCGTTTCCCTAAAGATAGCTCCAGCTGTTGTGAATGGTTCATAGTAACAGCTGATTTTGGCGATTTCAGAGAGGTTAAACATCTGCTAATAATATTCAGTTTATATCACTTTGAATTTCATATAAAAACCTTGATTTTTACTGTGTTTGAAATGTCGAATTTTGTGTTAACCAAGCAGCATTTGCGGGAGGTTTTGATTTTCTGCTTTAATTGGAAGAAAAGTGCAGCTGAGCTCGAATGCTTGTCGAAGTTTATGGTGACACTGCTCCTGATAAATCATGTAGGGAATAATTTCGACGTTTCAAGGATGGAGATTTCAGCGTTGAAGACAACCCTCGCTCTGGACAGCCAAAAAAATTCGAAAACAAAGAATTAGAGGAGATTATTCGAAGAAGATCAGAGTCAAACGCAAGAGGAGCTTGCAGAATCATAACTCAACAAGCCGTTTCTATACGATTGAGAGCCATGGGAATGATTCAAAAACAATTGGGTGCCTTATGAACTGAAACCGAGAAACGTTGAAAGGTGATTTTTCACTTGCGAACAGCTAATTTAAAGACAACAGAGAAAAGGTTTTTTGCATCGGATTGTGACTGGAGATGAGAAGTGGATATTTTACGACATCCCCAAGAAGAAACAATATTACGTTAAACCCGGTCAATCGTTGCCGTCGACCTCAACATTAACACCATGGCCAAACATTTATGGTTCGAAAATCATGCTCTGTATCTGATGGAACCAAAAGGGTCTTGTTTACTATGAGCTGCTGAAACCTGGTGATTCCATTACGAGTGATCGGTATCGGCTACAATTGATTCGATTTGAGCCGTGCATTGCGAGAAAAACGGCTGGAATACTAGCAAAGACATGATAAAGTTATTCTTCTTCATGACAACTCGGCCTCATGTCGTAAAAAAATATTTGGAAACGCTCAAATGGGATGTTTTACCGCACCCGCCGGATTCTCCGAACATTGTTCCTTCTGATTACTGGTTGTTCCGAAGAATGCAACAAGTCATCGGTTCACTTTTTTCGCAGAAATCGAAAATTGGCTCCAAAATTGCATCGTCTCCAAAGATGAGTCATTTTTTCGAGATGGAATTCGAAAATTGCCTGAGAAATGAGAAAAAGTAATAGGCAGTGATGGACAATACTTTAATTGATCTATTCATTTTGAAATAAATGCACAAAAAAACGGACCGAATTAATTTGTACTCCCAATAATATGATGCCTGATTGAGCATCAAATTATTAAAAAAATTGTTTGTCAATTTAATTCAATTTAATTCGTGATATTATTACAGTAGTTTAATTGCGAACTCACACTATTATAAATAAAATTAATTTCATGATTATACGATTTAAATTGAATCAAATTTAATTAATATATGGATACATATACATATAGGGAATGGAAAGTTATTTTTTAAAGGTAACAAATTAGAGTTACTCATTATCGAGTAGTTACCATTACTAAATATTTATTTTTAAAAGTAACTCGTTACAGTTTCCGGTACTTGAGAGAAAGTTAATTTTCGTTATTTTTCCGTTACTTTTTTAAAATCGACAATCACCAATCACACTGGTAACTGTCTTACGTGGACGAGTGCCTCGAGAAGAGATTTTTAGTCTATTATTTTATATATATATTTTTTCTCAAGCGCTATGAGTAACTTATGTCCAATTTACGAATTAAAAAGAAGATCAAACTCAAGCGGCCGGTCATGAAAAAATTGAACTCGATTTCTGGCTTCGGAAAAGTGCTGAATAAATTCGAGTGCTCTTGTAGGAGAAAATTGTCAATTTAGAGAATTTGATAAATATTTTTCTGTTGTTATATTGTATATTTTATATTTACATATGTATTTACATAGGTATTTTTTAATATTTTTGTTTATTATTTACATTTGAATAATTTGTTAAATTTTTGTTCAATATATCTTTTTGTTATAAGTAATGAAATAATATAATTTTTGGCTCATAGCCCTCTTTTGTTATACTAAATTTAATATTTTTCTTCCTATTTTCTTGTAATTCTGTAAATTTGTGTATTTTCATATTTGCATAGAATATATTTTGAGAAGGAAAGCTGTCGCTCAAGTCCCATTTTATTTTTTTTTTATTTCGAAGTTTTTTGAAGTCCGGTAAATTAAAAAAAAAGTTCGGTTTATGACTATGCATAAATGTATTTTTCAATAAATATCGATGCACTTACTATTTAATCAAATAAAATGAAATTTTATACAAACATATGTATTCCGTATGTGTTATCGTATGTATATATTTCCAACTTTTCTAGCAACCGCATTGTCCCGATTTTCCGAAGTCATGTTTCGAGCCTATGTATTCACAGTCAGGCCGATATTCATAGTCAGGGGGTCGATTATTGTATAAAGCCAACAAAAGTGACTCATATAAATTTTTTATCGCTGAAAATGAATCTGTAAATGAAATTGCTCTATCACGTCACATTTTTGAGATATTTAATTCAGCTCAAAGATACCAAAAAATGCCATTTCTGGTACTTTTAGATTCAATTTTCTTAAAAACCTGACGTGATAGAGCAATTTTATTTATGGATTCATTTTCAGCGATAAAAATTTAATTTATTTATAAAAAGCACTTGGTTCGGTTTGTGGTCTAAAATCCATGTTATTAAATCGGACAGTGTCATTAAATGTCCTGAAATATTTAAAAATTTTTAAGAAAACTTTAGAAATTAATAATCAAAAAACAATTAAACAAATTTCAAATTCATCAGATATTAGATGATTATAAATTGCTAATATAAAATTTAAATTCTTTAAGAATTATCTTTTTACAAATTTAAAAGTACTTTCATATATATATATAATACGCTCGCATTCGAATTAATTAGGCAAATAGCTATAGATTCGACTCTTCGTAACGATATTTTTATTAAAATAAACGAATGTTGTAGACGTCAATCGATATTGTGTAACACTCGATAGACATACCAGCTCTCCTCCGGTCCTATCGGCAAGATAGCTCGCACCGTTCCACAGACATTCGTTTGCGTCCTCCTCCAATTCCAGAAGATTATGTTCCTTGATTGCTGGCAGGGCAGGTGTATTTGTAGCTGGTTGCTCCTTCCATATTGCGGATTCATTTTGTACGAGGTCTTCTGTGGACAGGGAGAAACTCCAATCCTCCAACTCCGCTCTGTCATATTCCAATTCGAGCAGATCTCGATGTTGTTGCGTACTTCTACTATCATCGAGCCTGAAACCCGTGCGGTGATCAATTCTGACATATTTTTATGTTTTAGTTATATCGATAATCTACTATCCGGATAATCTACTTTCGAGAAGATACGATTGTTTTTCTGTTGTATCGGTTTCATAAAATGTTTAATTGAAAAACCGTAACATAACTTAAACAAATATTAATTATTAAACAAATAATAAAGTTTTATTATAATTTGCGTGTGTAATATATTTAAAATGTTTTTTCGAATGTAAATTCCAATATTTATAATATACGAAATCTAACTTTTATATTAACACATAATTTAATCTTTTAATATTATAAACTCGATTTTAATTGATTTATGATCTGTGAAAATAATAATAGTTTACTAGCGTTTTTCTTTAATAAACTTCATAAAAGAAGTTAACTTTAATTAAACAGGAAGAGACATTAGAGTCTCTAATGTTATACTCACATATTTCGCTTTTACGTTTCCTCAATCATTTTCATAATCTAGCGATTATATACCCTTAGAAATATATAAAACAAACCTAAGCCATTGTTGTACATATTCGGTGTCCCAACCTTCCTCCTCCACTAGCAAGAGAGAAGATGAGCCTAGGGGGCTAGGCAGTTTATACGGTGTAAAATTGGCAGTAGTAGTGAGCTTGAGACAGAGATGACTGTCGGAGAAGCTACGCATTACATGCTGATAGGGTAACAGATCTTTAGTCGGCGGATAGCTGTGGCGCGGATTGATGCCCACAGTGAGATTCAGAGGTAGAAAGAGGACGTCCGGATCGCTGGCGTCGAGGGCGACGAGACGAGCATCCGGCGACACATCAGCTTCGGTCTCGTCGGTGGCCTCCTTCAGATCTTCAAGGCCGCGCACAGATGGTTCCTGACGCGTACCCTCACCTTGAACATCACTCGACATGGTCGAGTAGCCCTCGTCGCGATTACCGCTTTCTGGGCTTTCGCTGCCTTCTTCCTCCGACGGTTTTTGCGCTGTAAATGATTTAGTCGAACAATTTCCGAGAAGAGTAGACGCATTATAGTTTTGTCTTATCATTTTATACTATATCACATTGCTATTAAAGAGCCTCAAAGAAAGTGGCAAACTGCATCATGTGACCCGTCTCCTCTGATTGGACGTGGGCATCAAAGCTCCATAGGCATGGAAGAGATTGAAGAAGACTGGTCACGTGACCTCCATCTTGATTGGACGCGATTATTCATGTGATGCAATTTGCCACTCTCTCCCTTTGATGCTCTCTAATTGTTGTATCGCAAAGGATCTCCAGTGTGTCGCAACATTTTAGGAAAAGTAAAAAGAAGTGAAAAAGATTACAAATAAATAAAAAACCGAGTAAGGCATTAAAATACTTTAAAAAATACTTTAAAAAATACTTTAAAAAATTATAAAAATTATCTAAATTATAGTACATATGAATACATTCTTATTTTAATTAAATCATGATATCTTTCTCATTATTACAATAAAATCACTTTTAAAACAATAAATTAAAAATTTTAGAACTTATAATTATTTTTTAATGTCATGTTGGCAATATTTGATAAAAGACTTATGCTGATTGCTGAAGCATCTAATAATTTTTTTTCGACAAATTTGGTCGCTATTTAATGTGCCGCGAGTCAAAAAGTGTTGAAAAATGCTGATGTATAATAACATGTGTGATCAAGTAAATAATAGAATAAAAATATCTTAAGAATGGACAAAATTTTTCAAGATTTCTACTGAGAAAAACTTTTGGTTAAAAATGAATGAATCAGAAAATTTTGATTTGTCTATTTTCAATTAGAATTCAATCAATCAGATACTTTTTCCAGTGTAATTACGTTTGATTCTATAGTAAATGTATTAATCGTGATAAAAGACAATTAGTACCAAGAGGTCTACTACGTCGACACTTAGTGGTTGCCATCACAGGTATTTGTAAATTGAGGGAACGCGGTCTTGAGAGGGGTACCCAGGAAGGGTCCAGACCCAAAGCGGCGACCAGGGCGGTTGGACCAGCCTCGAGAATTCCTTGGATAAGTTCAGTAGGGCTTTCAGGACTGGCAGCCTGCGCCAAGAGTCCTGATAATGCTCGATTTTGAGCCTCAAGCTCTCGTATACGTCTTTGCAATGCACCTATTTCCTCCCTAAGACCCTAAGAACAATTCGATGGCCATCAGTATTGTTATTCAATATGTGTCATTTAAAAAGCATTAGCGAGTGGAAAGAAGCTTGCTACGGCAGATTTAATCCTTTCAAAAAACAATTCTAAGTAAAACTTAAAAATTGATATTAGATATTAACAATCCTAGAAAAATAATAGCTAAGTATTTTCTAGACTTATGTGAATTGCATACCATTTGTACAATCTATTAAATTTTATTTTTTTTATTGTACACTGAAAGAAAAGATTGGCTACTGCAGCAAATTAGATGGCAAAATATGATACAGCATTTTTAATTATTGTAACTGCAGCAGCCAATTTTCCTGCAATCAAAAATGTTATGCCACATTCAGTCAATCTTTTCTTTCAGTGTAAACTTAAGAAGAATAAATAATGTATTAATGAAAATTTATTAAATGTTATCATACATTTTACTTATTTTTTATATATAAGTTTTGAAAAGATTATTACGTTCAAATCAGACATTATTATTTCTCTAGGCGTGAAAAATCCTAATTATTATACAGTGCTGAAAATCTCCGCCTTCAAACGTTATATTTATCTACATATGTAATAATTTGAGTAATCTAAATAAATCGTAGTAAAAAAAGAAATAAAATTTTATTGAATTGAAGTTCGTATAAATTAAACAAAGTGTGTAAGAATCTTTCGTATACAAGATATACTTGGCGCGAGACACTGTCTCTTGATCGTATGTTTTCAACATCGTTTTAAAAAAGAAAAATCTCTCCAAAGCTACACTTGAAGAAACTTCTCTTGTGAAACTTTCCAAATAATAATCTCAAAGTTTATACACAAATTCTTTAGCATTTTATATACATAATAGCATTCACAGAGCGCACATTTTCGTTGCAATGGACACGGACATTCGAAGAGGACGAAAAGAGACAAAATGAGAAATAAAGAAAAGGAAAGGATGGTAACGAGAGCATAGCGATGAACCTTTTGCGATAAGAGAGCGCGGACCACCTGGTTGGCGACGTCGTCCAGGCACCGCTCATATTGTCGACGTTGGGCGTCAGCGTCTCGTGCTAAGGCTGCGTGCTCCGTTTCAAGGGTTGCCAAACGTGCCACCAGCGCGGCGTGCACTTCACCGGCGCATGCTGCCTCCAGGCCGCGTAGTTGACCACGCATCGACTCATTCTCCAGTTGCAGCTTTGATATCTGCGCCTGATATTGATGTACGCGCGCCTGCAAACAGACGTGTGAAAATTATTTCTGGCATATTCTGTTGGATTGAAGGAAAAGTTCTGGGGTATTTTAGTTCAAAAGGGTGTCACGAAATTTTTTGTCAAGCGCTCTTATGTAGATAGAGTGAACTAAACTGAATCGAAAAGTATTGTACCATTTTGCAATTTTCGCAGTAGTTAATAAGATATTAATTCTAACTAACTAAAAATCGCTGAATATTGGGCTTCAATAATTTTTTTACTCAATACTATCAACTTTACAGAAAAAGCAAGAGACAAAACTTGTTTATTTTGTTCTCATAAAATTCTGAGAATTTTTTCAGAATTTTTTAATATCGTATTTTCTCATGTTGATAAAAATAATTGTCAATAAGAAAATGCGGTACTAAAAAGTTGATAAAAAATTCTAAAAAATTCTTAAAAATTCTATGAAAAGAAAATAAACAAGTTTTTGTCTTTTGTAATTTTTTTGTAAAATTGATATTTGAGAAAAAAATTATCGAAGACCAATATTCGGCAATTTTTAGTAATTAACATCTTATTAACTATTGTGAAAATTGTAAATGGAGAATTTTTCGACTTAGTTTAGTCAGCTCTATTTACACAAGAGCGTTTGGAAAAAAATTTCAGAACACTCTGTAGGGTAATTCCGGCAAATTCACGCCACGCTGGAATTCACGCCGCAAAAATCAGAAAAAATAGAAGGAGTGAAGGTAATTTTCTCACAACTATTCTATTACATGCCTTTATGTTATATTAGTATTATGTTATGATTTCAGCTTCTTACTGTTAATATTAATGAAATTATTGTAAGTTGAATCAATTTGTTACTGTAATAAGTAACGCTATTATAAATTATAATCTACATAAAATGATTAATGTAGGGCGTGCAGAAGACTTCGTAATTTCGTAATACATACATGTAGTATAGGAATAGTAAAGCATGTGTAAAAATATAAGTGCTTTGCTTTCGTATTCTTTGTTTAGATTGTTGTCTTGTATATCCCATCTGTTTGGGGTATACGACATTTTTAGCGAGCGGAATTTATGCCCAAAGTGCGCAGATTGAATTCAGTGCACTAAATTCAATAAACGCATTATATGAAATATGTACCTCATAACACTTGTAATATATGTAGAAAGATTGTAATTATTATTTATTACTTCATATTTATCATTCTTATTCCTTAATAAAACTTTATAAATACATTTTATAAGTTATTATATCATTATACGTCTTATTTATATGCATTATTTGTAAATTTTTTATAGCCGCATCCTCCCTGAGTAGCCATATATCCCATCCCTATGGAATATACGGCAAAAATGTAAGGGTTTTAAAAAGTTTATTTTTTAATATGAAAAATAAATATTCCGGATTTCTAATATTTTTTTCATAATAGTAGACAGTTTTTACTGATATAGTTCGTTTACTATAAACATAGTAAATAATACTTAATAAATTAAATTGTTGATAGGTGTGGCATATACCGGAGTTATCATATTATCCTACATGTATGTACAAAATCTTCGTAAAAAATGAACAATATTTAATTAAAATCGAAAAAAAGGTTTTAAAGCTCATAAAATATATATTTTGAAAAGGTTACTGTAATTTTTTAATTCATGTGAATTTGGTAATTTTTACATATCTGGAGACACTGGTAGTGTCTCGGCGCTAAACACGGAGACATTGACATGGAGACGTGCCTTCTTTACACGAATCTAGAAAATTACGAATTAAAAAATCTTTCTCCTCACTTTGTGGGTCACATAGACAAAAAAAAATTTGCGAGTATTTTCGACAATACATCGTGAAAATTCGAAATTTCCTTTACAAAATCGTTTTTTATGTTCCTACAATTTTTTGTCTTTGGAGTTATTCGCAAGTAAAAAGGAGCATAATGACTTTGATTACTCATAACTCCTGAAACTCGTACTGCAATTAAAATGCTATGACATTACTTTTCTTTTAATTGCACAATAATTATAAGGATAGTGTAATGTCACATTTTTGGCTCAAATTTATATATATTCTACATTTAAAAAATTAGCAGTTATACCATTCGATAGAGCAAAGTTTGAGTTTTAACAATCTGATTGCGGTACGATTTTTAACGGAATTACGAGCAATCAAAATCAGAATGCTTTTTTTATTTAACTCACGTGTAACTCAGTCAACAAAAAATTACGGGAAAATTTTGTAAAAATGAATTTGTAGGAAAAATTTTAAGCTTTCACATCGATAGTCGAAAATTTCGCAACGAACATATTCTGTATATAATTTTGAGCTAACAAAATACCACAAAAATCCTCTAATATTGTAGATTTTTTCTAAACTACAATGTATAAAAACGGCGAGCAGGATTCAGGACATTAATGATGTTTTATGAACATTATTACATGACAAGAGAAGCATACGTAACCTGAAATAAAGATGTAGGAATAATCATCATTTGAATTTATTTAAAATTAGTAAAATATATCTTCGACGAACGTGAATGTACAAGCATATAATCCGAGTAGAGATCCAATTATTCAATTCTGCCCTTACAGCAAAGTTGTACAAAAATTGTAGCAACACTGCTGCAACATTGCAGCAATATTGCAGAGATTTTGCAGCGATGTTGCTGCAGATTCTGTACTGTACGAGTAATGTTAACTTTTACAAAATTAAATTAGTAAAATATAACTATGTAAAGTTAAGAGTCTAAAATGTAACTAAATGAAGTTTTATGAAAGTTAATAAGTTTTATAAAAGTTTTATGAAAATTAATTAACTTTTTAACTTAATTTTTAACTTTTTAACTTAGCATTATTCAACCTTGATAATACTTATAATATACAATACATGTATATATGTTTTCCTTAATGCAAAAATCTCTCTATCTCTCTCTCTCTTTTCTGCAGATTTAAAAATATAAAATAATTATAAAGCAAGACATTTTGTCAAACTCGACCAAAGAAATAATTATATCACAATTATAAAATCAAATTTTAAGAACCTATAAATTTTTGGAATTACAAATAAATATATGTTATACTCGAGAGTTTACTATTTTAATCTTTTCTTAAAAAACACTAAATGTCTAAATTATGCAACAAAGTAAAAACTTTAATTTGTAAAATGTTTACAGATCATTTGGTAAAACGTAAAATAAATTATTATATGCTCAGCGAACTTTATATTCGGCTATTTAAATTGCCTATTTAGATTGGCGATTATAATCTCGATCTTGACTTAGAAAATAAAAAATTGCAGGCCAACGAAAGCCAGGAGTGCTCCATAAATATCTCGTGTTATAGCACGCACTAAAGCTCAATTCCCGGCGGTCATTAAAATTAAGCACTAATGAATTATTTTGATTCTATCAAGAATGATTCATGTCGCCCCCTTGCGATTCTTAGACGGAATTTATATTGCGTTTAACTCGGTCACTGTAAAAAGAAAATCGACCGCGGAGATTTAAATATCCCAGACATAGCAGCACGAATATTTCCGCAATTATCTTGATGGTCTTATTATGGAACGAAACTCTTAAATTATACGTTCTTAAAATACTTGGAACATCTGACAATCTTTTTATTTCTGCTTTCAAATGAGAATAATTATGAGAATAATGGCACTTGTGACGATTGTCATTTGCTTCTTAAATACTACGTGAAGCTGAAGGAAGAAAATACTTCGGTCGCAGTGACAAATTATTATTATTATTATTATTATTATTATTAT